GCCTTCCCAGGCATTATCGACTAGGATTTCAGCCGCCTTCCTATCCTCGTTGACATCGATGGTTTTACTTCTCTTACCAGAAAAAAGTGGAATGAGCAACTTTTCTTTCAACACGCGCCAAATTGCCTCCCGTCGTGGCAGCTTACAGAGCTGCTCAAGGGTATTGAAGTTTTGCAGTTCCCCACTCAAGAGCACAGGAATCGAAAAAGGCGCATTCGTGTCAGTAGCAGCAGCAACACCCGCCGGTGGATTCTGCGGCAGCCCCGCGGCAATCGCATCGGTGTCGTTGCCCAGACTTTCTCGCCTCGCGGAGACGATATTCGCAGGAGTGGCGGTGTACGCAGAATTTACCGTCCCAAAGAGCGTCAAAGGCACCACCGGCTCCTGCAGACGCCATTCGTGAAGCTTCCGCCGCTCAAGCTCGTACCAAAAGCTGACTTCAATGTGCGGGGAGTATTCCTTAAATTTAAGTCGACTCCCCGCTGGTGTAGTTGCCGTCGATGTCATCGCGCCAAAAGGAATTGTTATTCGCGACAGCTACACACACAGAGAGAGGGAAAATGGTGAAGTGAAGAGGTCTCGCTCTTGCAGCCCCCTTGTAATTGCCCGTTCCTTTTCTTTTCCCTAACCGCCTTCCGCCTAATAAACTGTAATTTGCTGATGCCTCGATTTCTCTGGCAAGCTTTGACCCCATCCACGTTGCAGGAGGATGGGAAAAGACAAAAAAAAAAAAAAAAAAAAGAGAGAGAGAGAGAGAGAGGGCAATGCAATGGTGCCTGGTACGTGTATCGGCCATTCAGAGCACCACACACGCACACGCATAAATAACGCCTCTTATTCATTGATGTCAAATCTTTCTCTCCAAAAAAAAAAAAAAAAAAAAAGCAAACTAAAAGAAAAAGTGCTCTCTTATTTTGCTTGTGTGTGTGTGTGTGTGTGTGTGTTTACCCCTTCACGCAAAGAATTTGTTTAAGCGCACACACAACCTCCACAAGGTCTCCTTGAGCCCGCATTACATCATCAATCTTTTTGTATGCCAGCGGGGTCTCGTCAAGCACGTCAGTATCCTTGCGACACTCCACATCAGCCGTAGCCGCCTCGTGATCCTCAAGTGTAAATCGCCGTTTCGTCTCTCCACGACTGTATAGCCTGCCGGCACCGTGCGAACAGGAAGAGTAACTGAGCGGACTGCCCTTCCCACGCACAATATAGCTTTTCGTGCCCATGCTGCCTGGAATCACTGCCATTTCCCCGCCGCGTGCGGATGTCGCCCCTTTTCTTGTCAGCCAAACAGAATTCTGCGGGCTCAACTCCACACGTTCAATGTAATTGTGATGGCAGTTTATGGCTGTCGCATCAACACCAAAGGGCTGCGGCAGATAACTTCGCATGGCCTGCAGTACATTCTGCAGCATGATTTCTCGGTTCCATTTGGCGTACCGCTGAGCCCAGTCAACAGCCTTCACGTATTGGTCAAAATGAGGGGAGCCTTCTCGCAGGTACGCAAGCTCAGCACTGGGCAATTGAGTGATATGATTGCCCATATCCTTCTTGGCCAGCTCAATAAAGACGGTGCCAATGCGGTTCCCCACTCCCCTAGATCCGGAGTGTAGCATCACCCACACATGCGGACGTTGGGCATCATTCTTAACATCATCATCAATGCAAATTTCAATAAAATGATTTCCACCTCCCAGTGTCCCGAGGTGGGAGATATGATTGCTAGCTTCAATCGACTTCTGCATCGCGCATATTTCCTCAAACCCCTTCCGGAGGTGTAAATTCCAAATATCAACAACATTTTTTGGTAACTCGCCCCGCCAACTTCCAGCATCCAGGCCGCTCCTGCCGTTGTGCGTACGTCCGTGAGGAACGGCAATTTCAATGGCCAACCGTAACCCCACAAGCGATCCCGGAAGGTCCTCCGGGGTGAGGGTGGTCTTCACCGCGATCATGCCACAGCCGATGTCTACCCCAACACTCGCCGGAATCAGCGCGCGCGTCGTCGGGATCACAGTTCCTACGGTGGCGCCATGGCCCGTGTGTACATCCGGCATGACGGCAATGGGGTGCCGGATAATTTCACCCATACGTGAGAGTTGAATTAACTGCTCATGCGCTGAGCGCTCCACCTCGACGCCTTTGATCCACGCGCGCACCTCGACGTTACTTCCCTCACCACGAAGAACATCGTACGGCAGCAAGCCTTGGCCAGAAACATCCGCACACCCACATCTTTGCTTCACAGTGGCAGCCGCAACAATAAAAAGCCGCTCACGCGCAAGACGGCGCATGATGTGTGCCTGTGTGTGTGCGTTAAGCAAACCACAAGCACAATAAGTCTCTTACGGAGCCTACGCACCTAAAAAAAAAAAAAAATATATTCATCAGAAATCCGTCGCCACACATAAAAACGCCAAAAAAAGAAAAGCAAACATATTCGGCAAAAAAAATAATAATAAAATAAAAAAAAAAACAGGGAGGATGAAGATGACTCGTTGAGGCTTTGAATCTACACTCGCACATGATGCAGACCCATCATTGACAATAAGCATGCAAATTAAAACTGTACATGCACATGTCGTTACCCGACCAAAGCGAGTTGCTGACCTAGGTTACAAGTGTTCGTCACAATAAATAAATAAATAAAAGAACTAAAAGAAAATAAGATCATATAATACTCGGGAATTACAAGCAGCATCACCAGCACCAAAAATCACTATTCCCATAGCGTACTTTCAATTTTAATCCTCTCCCATCAGGTATAGGGGAGCAAGCACTAGCACTCCAACGCAAAATTAACCTCCGCCGGCCTCTCACCTTTCTTCCGGAGTGAAGCCAGATGATCATCCAGCAGCTCTTTCCGCTTGATCAAATACGCCCTGCGGGTGCATTCAGGACAGCCCGGTTTGCCCCCTAGAAGATGTCGGTTAGGGCAGCACCGCGTACAGAATTGTCCGCCGCACCAGTTACAGTTTGTACTTGGCGTAAAGTAATAAAAGTACGGCTCCCCACAGTTGGCGCAAAACCGATCGTCCTGCGGCCGGTTTTCCTCCGACGCAGGCGTGTACTCAATCGGCTCCACCTTCTCCTTTACATCTTCGGGCACCTCTTCATGTGTAGCGTTGAAACTCAATAACTGCCCCATCCCACAATTTGGCTTATTCTCTTCCCTACTTCTCTTCACGATTGGCAAACACACAAAAAAAAAACAAAAAATAAAAATAAATAACAATAATAATAATAATAATAAACAAAAAAAAAAAAAAAGGACAGCACATACGCACATACCATTTCTCTCATGTAAACACAGACATGTATATGTGTATATATACATGTGAACATGAAGGAAACACAATGCAGCCAAGTCACCGCCAATGAAACCAGTTCACACGGCAATGCTGAGCGACATTTATGTTGCACTCCGTCGTGCCCGCCGCGATCATTCTACCACCACCCCCTCAGTTTCGCTCACGTTGAAAAAAATACTGGCCTTTCCTCCCCCTCTCGTCAAACAGTACACTGAATGCAAACAAATGGCAATGCGGACAACGGCGCAGCGTCAATTTGTTCTTACAGTCCGCTATGCCCCTAAGCTCCCAGTACTAAAGGCATCCCACCGCTGTCAAACACATTCAATCCCCCATTTTTTTATCCCCCTCCCTCTCTCTCTCCCTTCCTTTTCTTCCCCTCCTTGCAAGGCGAAGGCCCGCTGCTGCGCCTCGGCGCCTTTTCATCCATTCAAAAAAAAGAATTCATCACTGAAACACTGAAAAAAAAAAAAAAAAAAGCCCAAAACAAAAAAAAAAAAAAAAATGAAAAAGTGTAAATGGTACCGCGGAGAGTAATAAAAAAAATAATGATAATAAAAAGAATCAAAATTTTTCTTCTTTTTTGCTTCTTTTGCAATCTTCTTCTTACACTTTGGCGTTCAGATAAAAGCGAAAACAAAATAAAATCGGGTTTTGTTGAAGAGACAAAAAAAAAAAAAAAAAGAGAGAGAGAGAGAGAAATTCCCAGAAAAGCGTCATGTGCCTTGTGAAATATTCCGCTCCACGCGACCCTGCGGTTTCGACGCGTGCAAGAAATCCTCGCCGTCCATCGCAGTCAAAAAGAAGCCACGCAAAAACCCTCCCGAAGCGGTCTTCTTCTTCACTCGCTGCCGCAGATGGTGTTCGTGCTGATGCGCTGCCGCAAAGGACTCATCGTTTGTGCGTCGATAGTAATCGTGCAAACAGCTATCCATGCAGTAGTCGCACAAAGGCCGCCGTTTCCAATTGCGGCAACGACGGCAACACTGCTTACAAAGCGCCTCACCGCAAATGCGGCAGCGGCGTGACCTTGTCCGTTCATCAAATGGCCGTCCACAGTCAGGGCAGGAGGTGGGATGCGGAAGTTTCTCGAGTTCCTTGCGTCCTATTGGTACCACGCCAACGAAAACCGCCGCCTCAGCCTCGTCTGTTCTGTGGAGTGCAACGATGGTGCCCATTCTATTTCTTTCTGTATTCTCCCTCCCCTCTCCTCCGCCTAGTTTAACCCTTACACTATTGCATGCACTTGGAGAGTACTGTCCTCCCTATTTTTTTTTTTTTTTTTTTTTGGGGGGGGGGTTCTTTTTCGTACCCGCTCGCTTTCCTTTTCTCAAATTGGCAGATGCATCAGAGAAGAACAATTCAACAAGAAACACACGGAATATTTGAGTCCGCACTGAACCGCATTAGAAATTCACCACAAACAAAAACACAAAAATACATATATATATGTATGTATATATTATTGTTTAACGTCTCGTTTTCTTTTTCTCCTCTTCCCGCCCACCACTGCCTGGACAAAATAACAAAAATGGGAAAACACCCTCGGGTCTTAGAAATAAAACCAAATTTTTCTGTTGGACGGGTGGGGGAGCGGAAATTCGTTTCGTGTCTGCTGCCCCTTTTTGTTTCCAATTCCGTATTCCACCCATTTCACACGCACACACACACACACGCACCTGAGCGTCTTTACGCATCACTTCTACACTCCGTGCGCTTCCTCTTATTGCCGATCAGTTTTTCCTCCACTGCGGTGTTATGCGTCACATCCTCGCCGCCGTCTTTGTTGTCATCGTCGTTTTTTTCATCTTCATCCTCCTCGGAGTCAGTCCTCGTCCCTACGGTCTTGCGTGTGCGGGGATCGACGGCGTCGTAGTGCCACTGCGAAAAGATATCCATTTTTTCAAACAAGTTGCTCCCATTTTCCCTCTCAAGCTCCCCGATAGCCGTCTCAATTGCCACTTGTCGCGACTCCACAAGACAAACAGGCGCCGCCTCCCCCGCCTCACCTTCAATTTGCAGAACATGTACGCGGCCATTACGCCCCAGTAAAAGGGCGGAGTTGGTAGCCAACCCCACCATTGCAAGCGGAGACGAATCCAAGCGCGTCCGAGTGATACCCTCTAAAGCAAATAAAAGTCTATGGTCATCAACACTCTCCATGAGTGGAACAAACACCACATCTTTTGCGTTCGCATAAGCAATAAGAACTCCATGTAAAAAGCCCCTCGCCGCGTGCCTGTCAATTCCACCGTGTGACGATGATGATGTGACATACACTACCGATACAACAGCAGCTGCTCCTTCTTCATCCATATCAGCTTGTTCCTGTGCACAAATGGATCCAACAAGGGTAAATGGCTCCGTGGGCAAAACATTTATCAAATTATTATCCGCAGCCCACAAATGCACCTTTCCTTCATAACTTCCAGTCACAAAGTAGGAATACCCCCTCTTTTCCGAAGAATCGGGGACCTCCGCAATGGAGGTTACCACGGACTGTGGTGACTCCGTCCACAGAAACTGTTCAATTCGAAATGTTTCTGGGTAACAGCTGACCCTAACATGGCAGTCCTTGTCGCATGTAAAAAGTCTTCTTGTTTCTTTCATTTCAGGCGTTCTCTGACGGATCGGCGCAGACAGAAATAGGGCGCTCATCACACTAAAGTGCTGCAACAGAAAGATGGGTGCTGCTGCGTCACCTTGCGCCATTGTCAGCGAGTCATTTACTCCCCACACAAGAACAAGACGGAACACTTCTCCAAATTTATCTGCAAAAAGGATGGAGTTGTCATCGCAGGTAACAATATGGGTAATGCGTTTCGTGTGGGGACCAAAGGAAAACAATAATTTCATCTCGCCGGCTCCAACGTCGTTCGCACGGGCATCTGGCGCTAAAAATGTCTTCATCGGGTTTGCGCGGTACATATTGATGCGTTTGCCGTCACCTCCAGCGACAACACAAATAGCACCGTTTGGGGCACGCAACAAGGCGACGCCGCGTACAACCTGCCCATCGTTCACACGGAGCACCTCCTCCCCCGCCTCGCTGCTTGTCGCAAGAATAATTTTCGTGGTGATGCCCAGCACTACCGCACACCCATCGCGCATGGAGGCAACCGATAGAGTGTAGTCATAAGCCCCACCGCTACCAGCAACAAGCATATCCTCCTCCCACAAATTCCTCTTCTGTTAATTCTTTGCCCCCCCTTCGCCCCAATAACAAACAAACCAAAAGAAAGAGAAAAAAAAAAAGTCCAGAAAAAAAAAAAAGAAAAAAAAACAACAACAACGACAGAAAGAAAAAAACAACACTTAAAGAGCAGGAACAACCCACACAGACTTAACAACAGATCGACCGCGGGCACCGCTCAAAACAAACAAACAAACAAAAAAAAAAAAGATGGGGAAAAATAAAGAAAAATATAAAGATATATTTTATACACTTTCAAAAGTCCACCATTCCTGATTCAATAATCGCACACAAAAAATATATATGTATATATAAAGAGGGTATGCCTTAAAAGATTCCACTTGCAGAAAGAAAAAGGGCAAACCTCATTGTCAACATCCCCTTCAACAACTTCAGTAAGCACAAGAGTAAAACAGAAATAATTAAATTTAAAGAAAAAAAATTTTTTTTATTAATGATTTTTGTGTGCCAATAAAGCACAAAATCGGGTCGAATATACACCCGAATGAGGCCTTGTCCAATATTCCTAGAAGAAAAAGCGTAAAATAAGAAGAAAAAAACAAAAAAAAAAAGGAAAAAATGATATTGCAGTTTGGCTCAATGCACCCAACATCCCCAAAATTCGGTTGAGGCTCATCCAGCACTTATATACCCAAAAAAAAGTGAAATCAACGAGCATACGCCACCATAACCGGGCTCGTTGTGAGCGGAAGAAGTGACAGTCCTTCAAGAGCCTCGCAGCCGCCGGACTCCCCTCAACGCGAAGGAAGGCGGGGGTGGGTAGAATCACAGGGAAACAGGAACTGCACTCGCCGCCCTCCAACGCGGTATCGTTGAAACGAAAAACCAGCTAATGGGTAAAAAGGCAGAGTAGATGAACAGGACGCAATATTATACACTGAGCTGCATCTGTTCGCACATTTTTTTCCATACATAGCTCTCAGTTAGAACAATTTCTCACCTTCATCTCCAAAAAAAAAAAGGAAAAACAAAAACAAAAAAAAAAAAAATAAACACCTTAACATTCATTATCCTGATTGGGCTAAAAAATACAGCCATGCGCATCCCGAAAGGACAACAGACGCCCATCAATATAACACTTTTACATTCATAATGGTTCCTAAGGACCATATGCGTATCCCTGTGGTGGCTGGCCATACGTGTACCCTGGCGGTGCCGGTTGCCCCTGTGGTGGCTGTCCATACGTGTACCCTGACGGTATCGGCTGTCCCTGTGGTGGCTGGCCATATGTATACCCTGGTGGTGCCGCTTGACCATATTTGTATCCCTGCCCCATTTGCTGTGCTGGCTGTGCATAAAAATTCGGTGCGGCGTTACCGGATGCACCCGAATTTGATATTCCTTGAGATGCAGGAGCCACATAGGGCGGAGCGCCTGATGACGTCTTATTTGGCCGCATCCAGTAGCAAATTAGCGCTGTGCAGACACCAATTTCCAGCAGCAAAAACAGGCACCCAAGAACAATCAGCACAATACCCACGGTGCGCGAATTCAAACCCAAATCATTGGTTCCCTTTGTTAATCGCTGCAGGGCGATGTAAGGGTCCTTGCTGCTGTACAGGCGCACTGTAACGGTGCTCGGTATTCCAGGCTGGTAATCGTTATCAAGATCCCCAAAAGCGTACATGGCACTTCGGAGATTGGTGTCCTCGGCGTATTTTCCGTTGCTGACCTCACGAACAACAAGGTACAATTGCCTGAGGTACAGAGTCTCCAGACACTCACCGCAAATATGACCCGCCTCACACCACGTTGGTGTATGATTGTACCTTCCGCCCCTGGCGGTACATTTCTCCCCAAAACTGCGGACATCGCGTCTGCACTTGCAATCCCTTCCGTCTTTGCAGTCACTTGAAGAACAGAAGTATGTCGAGTTTCTCATAATATTGAAGGGGGCCATGCGATTAAAAGGGGTCACGGTGCTAACATTCACGGAAACTTGAAACCTTGATGAAGACATATGAGAAACGGAAACAACAGCCTCCGCAAAGACAGAAGTGGCCCCGTCCACACCTTTGACATTTAGCGACTCGCGTCTCACAGTAATCGGCACACCGTTGATGGTCCCAGTCCAAGCGTTCATGGGTGTGGGGTTAAATTCATTCACGGCATCTCTGAAAGCTTTTCGATTGTCCTGTTGATTGAGAAGTATGCTGCCCGCGATGATGAGCGCAGGGCCACCGATGATGAGGCAGCAGGCACACGCCACAACAGCCTTAAAAAAGTCCTCAACCGCATCAACGATGCCAAACAAACACATTGTAAATTTACTTCTGGCAACAGCTGCAACCATAGAGTGAGAGAAGAAAGCAAAAAGAGGTGTAAAGACAAATAAAGAGAGCCAAGCAAAGCGATGCATCATCACTCAGTACATTGCCGCCGACAATTCTAGCATTATATGGCGCTCATCATCTGAGCATTTCGTCAAGTCAAAAAAATTTACTTTTTATTCCTCCATCCATTCATTCCTCAAAAGCATATAAACGCACAGACACAAAGAAACAGACACACACACAGAAAAGAAAGAAAAAAAAATATATAAGCAGAAAAAAAAAACAAGACAAATCTTGATATCTCGCAGGTACAAGAAAATATAAATATCAATTCTGTAGTATAAACCCTTATATAATAAAAATAAAAATAATCTTCTTGACCGTTGGCCGGATCCTGAATTTATCTACAGAAACCAAAGAAGATAGAAAAAAATGGGGTAACGCAGAAGAAGTTAATTGCCCCAATGTTTTCTTCCGATATATATATATATATATATATATATATATATTCTTTTGACCGCTCACGTGACCTTTTGTACTCAGTTAGGATCTGAAATACTTATTAATTGCGAAATAGCAGACGTTGGGATCCTCCAGCCACAAGACCGCATCTTGTGGCGGGAATCAAAAGAGGGCGGGTGGGACGGCAAAACAAAAAATTTAAAAAAAGTTATATTGCCGCTATCGCTTCCCTGCTCCCCTAAAGTTGTGGCCTTCCAAAATTAATAAGATAGAAAAGTATCGTAATGAAGTGTATTCGTTTTATCAGGATATATATACACTGCTTAAGTTAGCCAGCTATCCCGCGATCATTCTCTTCACAAGGTCCTAAAATAAATATAAAAAAAGACAGAAAATCAAGATTGCATACAGTAATTATTTCAATCAGCGGAATGACATTTATTCCCTTTTCAAATTCTCGACCGTAATTTTTACTCTCCAGGTAGGAAAACCGTGGCTGTCTGCATACCTACAATGGCGGCGGTGCTTGCCCATACGTATAGCCGTGCTGACCCTGTGGTGATACCGGTTGGCCGTATGCGTATCCCTGTGGAACAGGCTGTCCCTGTGGTGGCTGGCCATATGTGTACCCTGACGGTATCGGCTGTCCCTGTGGCGGCTGGCCATATGTATACCCTGGTGGTGCCGCTTGACCATATTTGTATCCCTGCCCCATTTGCTGTGCTGGCTGTGCATAAAAATTCGGTGCGGCGTTACCGGATGCACCCGAATTTGATATTCCTTGAGATGCAGGAGCCATATAGGGCGGAGCGCCTGATGACGTCTTATTTGGCCGCATCCAGTAGCAAATTAGCGCTGTGCAGACACCAATTTCCAGCAGCAAAAACAGGCACCCAAGAACAATCAGCACAATACCCACGGTGCGCGAATTCAAACCCAAATCATTGGTTCCCTTTGTTAATCGCTGCAGGGCGATGTAAGGGTCCTTGCTGCTGTACAGGCGCACTGTAACGGTGCTCGGTATTCCAGGCTGGTAATCGTTATCAAGATCCCCAAAAGCGTACATGGCACTTCGGAGATTGGTGTCCTCGGCGTATTTTCCGTTGCTGACCTCACGAACAACAAGGTACAATTGCCTGAGGTACAGAATCTCCAGACACTCACCGCAAATATGACCCGCCTCACACCACGTGGGTGCATTATTGTACTTTCCGCCCCTGGCGGTACATTTCTCCCCAAAACTGCGGACATCGCGTCTGCACTTGCAATCCCTTCCGTCTTTGCAGTCACTTGAAGAACAGAAGTATGTCGAGTTTCTCATAATATTGAAGGGGGCCATGCGATTAAAAGGGGTCACGGTTCTAACATTCACGGAAACTGGAAACACTGATAAAGACCTCTGAGAAACAGGAACAACAGCCTCCGCAAAGACAGAAGTGGCCCCGTCCACACCTTTGACATTTAGCGACTCGCGTCTCACAGTAATCGGCACACCGTTGATGGTCCCAGTCCAAGCGTTCATGGGTGTGGGGTTAAATTCATTCACGGCATCTCTGAAAGCTTTTCGAAGGTCCTGTTGATTGAGAAGTATGCTGCCCGCGATGATGAGCGCAGGGCCACCGATGATGAGGCAGCAGGCACACGCCACAATACTCTTAAAAAAGTCCCCAACCGCATCAACGATGCCAAACAAACACATCGTAAATTTACTTCTGGCAACAGCTGCAACCATAGAGTGAGAGAAGAAAGCAAAAAGAGGTGTAAAGACAAATAAAGAGAGCCAAGCAAAGCGATGCATCATCACTCGGCACATTGCCGCCGACAATTCTAGCATTATAGGGCGCTCATCATCTGAGCATTTCGTCAAGTCAAAAAAATTTACTTTTTATTCCTCCATCCATTCATTCCTCAAAAGCATATAAACGCACAGACACAAAGAAACAGACACACACAGGCGTGGAAGAGAAGAGCTTATATATATATATAAAACGAGACAAATCTTGAAGTCCCACGGGTAACAAAATATAAATATCAATTCTCTGATATAAAGCCTCATCAAAAACAATGTAAAAAAAATAATAAATAAACAAAATTTACATATACCTATCATATCCACCAGCTCAGTGACACATTGTCCTTTTCAATTTTTTTGACCGTAATTTTTACTCTCCAGGTAGGAAAACCGTGGCTGTCTGCATGACTACAATGGCGGCGGTACTTGCCCACGCGGAGCCTGTGGTGATACCGGTTGGCCGTATGCGTATAATGGCGGCGGTGCTTGCCCATACGTATAGCCGTGCTGTCCCTGTGGTGATACCGGTTGACCATATGCGTATCCCTGTGGAACCGGCTGTCCCTGTGGTGGCTGGCCATATGTATACCCTGGTGGTGCCGCTTGAAAATATGTGTATCCCTGCCCCGTTTGCTGTGCTGGCTGTGCATAAAAATTCGGTGCGGCGTTACCGGATGCACCCGAATTTGATATTCCATAAGTTGCAGGAGCCATATAGGGCGGAGCGCCTGATGACGTCTTCTTCCTTCGCATCCAGTAGCAAATTAGCGCTGTGCAGACACCAATTTCCAGCAGCAAAAACAGGCACCCAAGAACAATCAGCACAATACCCACGGTGCGCGAATTCAAACCCAAATCATTGGTTCCCTTTGTTAAGCGCTGCAGGGCGATGTAAGGGTCCTTGCTGCTGTACAGGCGCACTGTAACGGTGCTCGGTATTCCAGGCTGGTAATCGTTATCAAGATCCCCAAAAGCGTACATGGCACTTCGGAGATTGGTGTCCTCGGCGTATTTTCCGTTGCTGACCTCACGAACAACAAGGTACAATTGCCTGAGGTAGACCGTTCGTTCACACGTACCACAAGTGCGGTCCAACACGCACATTCCAGGTGTGCGAACAAATTTTCCACCAGATGCGACGCACTGGTTCATAAAAGAATTCAGCAATTCGTTACACTGGCAATTCAATCTGCTTTTGCAGTCACGTGAAGAACAGGTGTATGACGTTTTTTCTATGGTGCGGAAGGGGGCCATGCGATTAAAAGGGGTCACGGTTCTAACATTCACGGAAACTTGAAACCTTGATGAAGACATATGAGAAACGGAAACAACAGCCTCCGCAAAGACAGAAGTGGCCCCGTCCACACCTTTGACATTTAGCGACTCGCGTCTCACAGCAATCGGCACATCGTTGATGGTCCCAGTCCAAGCGTTCATGGGTGTGGGGTTAAATTCATTCACGGCATCTCTGAAAGCTTTTCGAAGGTCCTGTTGATTGAGAAGCATGCTGCCCGCGATGATGAGCGCAGGGCCACCGATGATGAGGCAGCAGGCACACGCCACAACACCCTTTAAAAAGTCCGCAACCGCATCAACGATGCCAAACAAACACATCGTAAATTTACTTCTGGCAACAGCTGCAAACACACACAAGACAAAAAAAAAAAAATGTATTTTTTAATTATTATTTTTTTTATTAATGATTTTTGTGTGTGTGTTAATAAAACACAAAAACCAATCGAATATACACCCGAATGAGGCCTTGTCCAATATTCCTAGAAGAAAAAGCGTAAAATAAGAAAAAACAAAAAAAAAAGGAAAAAATGATATTGCAGTTTGGCTCAATGCACCCAACATCCCCAAAATTCGGTTGAGGCTCATCCAGCACTTATATACCCACAAACAAGTGAAATCAACGAGCATACGCCACCATAACCGGGCTCGTTGTGAGCGGAAGAAGTGACAGTCCTTCAAGAGCCTCGCAGCCGCCGGACTCCCCTCAACGCGAAGGAAGGCGGGGGTGGGTAGAATCACAGGGAAACAGGAACTGCACTCGCCGCCCTCCAACGCGGTATCGTTGAAACGAAAAACCAGCTAATGGGTAAAAAGGCAGAGTAGATGAACAGGACGCAATATTATACACTGAGCTGCATCTGCTCGCACATTGCCTTCACATGATTCTAAAAAAGAATAAATAAATTAGGGGCTTTATGATTTTCCATAGTTAGAGGCCTTCATTGGGAGTTTTTTCATTCACCATTGCAATGGTTCCCTGGATCATTGTATTGTCTGTTCGTTCGTCTTCAACTTTTCGGAATTGCAATCTAAGTTTTCGGGCTTCTTTTTCATGAAGTTTTCTTTGAATATTGTCTACGTAGTGCTGCTTTTCCTTATTCCTGGTACCGCTCATGACGTATCCAACGGCTTCCGCTGCAGCGACACTCTCCGCATCGTATCCTATTTCGCCGCGACGAGGAGCACGTTTGAACTGTCGCAAAAATTCCTCCTGAGACATTTGTGAGGGATGCTTCGCGACGGGTACTTCAAATTTCTTTGACGGATCATTGGTGTCGTCAGAAATAAAAGAACCAAGAGGCAGTGCTACGCCAAAATCATCCCCACTCTGTTCGGATGCAGTTGGGCTTTTATGACGCTCCAACATGATGTTGGCGCCCTCGTTGTTACTTCTTAAAGGATCTTCGGATACTGCCATGAAAGCCCTGGTTTTTCTTTCAGAATTTTCCGTTTTTTGCAGTCGCTCCTTTAGACGGGCACTTTCAACAAGAGAAGCAAGCGCACTTCGGGGCTGCTGGACAAGTTTGTTTGGCCCCGCATAATCCCCTTCAAATGATACGTCCTTTTCAGGCTGAGGTGTATTGGTGCTTGTTGTTGTCTCTGCGGTCATTGAGACAAACCCTGACGCAGCGACGCCCTGGTTCCTCCAGAGGTGGCTCGTATGGTATTCCCGCCGCGTGGACAATACATGAAATGATGTGAAAAAGATTCCCTCCCCTTTCTTTTTGACCTGACTCTGCAGACTCCTCATGCCGATCTCTTTTCCGTTTCGGCTGAAGCAACCGATTTCGTTTCCGTTCCATTTGTGCTGCTTCTCGATTTGCTGAAACATTTTGCGTGGAAAAGATGTTCTGAAGAAATGTCAGGAAGATCGTCGTTTCAAGCTCCTCACCCGTCGGCTCAGAAGCGGGAAACCAAAAACCGTCAGTGGCCATAAACCCTTTTTGTAAATACTTTCTATTATTTTTATTATTGATCTTATTTTCTTCCCACGTCGTTTCCTCTTTTTGCTCGGTTCCTCCTCACACGCACATACACACACACAAAAAAAAAAAAAAAGAGAAGGGTGAAGAGAAACGGAAGGCCCTTTTGGGGAAAGTGTAAAAAAAGAGGGATCATCCCAAATGGCAAGCTGTAATCCCGTTATCATAAGAAACATGAAATAGGTAACAGTATCACCGCGCACCGCACCAACCATCTCAATTCATTGCTTTATTTTCGAGTTATCATCGCCATTTAACCCAATCAAGAAGGCTGCCCTCAGAGCATCGGAGATTTGAAGAGAATTCACCAAAGCCAAAATTTCCTCCCTGGACATTAGTGGCACGCCTTGGGTGTTCACAGTACCGATTCGTCCAGAAGCAAAAGAACCACGCGCAACTTTCGCTGTCCTCTTTTTACGCTCAGACTCCGCGGTTGTCTTTTTTTTAACGGATGCTGTCGTTTCTGAGGTTTCCATGGAGCCTATTTCTCCTCTCTCCAAAGCACAAATTTTCTCCTTCTTGGCGGAGGGTTCAACTATTCTCTTTGTATCACGATGAATAAGGCAACCATTGACCAGCAAAAGTTCACCCTCCTTTACCCATGTTGCATTTACAAAAGACTCTTGTGGGGAATTCAGTGCTGTGGAAGAAGCTGCTGTTGGTGGAGCAGTAAATCCTTCGTTTTCGGTGATTTCTTCCACCTCATTCCGCCGTCGCTTCCAAAGCGGCAACGGCACTGCATGATCTGAAAGAACTACCGTCATACTTGTCTCAAAAGCCTTTTGTCCTCTTAATTGTTGCCTCACCTCCTCACGTGATCGCACTTGAAACGGAACTGGAGTATCTCCCAGATTTCCTAACAATTCACGACGTTCGCAAACACCAGCACTTTGTGCCACGTTAGTTAATAAAGCCATTTTTTTTGAAAGAATGTGCCGTCGAGGTAAATTCGCCTGATCTAAAACCTTTTCCATCGTTTTTCTTCGAGGTACAAAAGTTATTCTCTTTTGAGTAGACATGGATAATGTGGATTTTTCATGAAATTTTACACCAAGAGAACTTTCTTCCGTCTCACGCAGCCGTTTTTTTAAAATAGTCAGTAAATGGCCTTGTGAATTACCAATGATTGGAAGCAACGCAGCATCTAAATTTATCATTGAATCTTCCAATAAACTACTCGTGACTGTGGCAGCAAACTTTACTTCGTCTTCGGTAGCATATCCGTTGTTTTTAGACCCATTAAAGCCATTACCAGTGGTCTCTTCATGGAGTCTTTGCTGCGTCAGTGCATGACTACACATTGAAGAAAGTACACCAAAGACAGAAGACTGAGCAAATTGGTGAAGCAAGCGGTGATGAAAAAGAGGGCATAACAAAGTACGTGAAGCGACATCCGGTAGACGACTCGCAGTGGCAAGCAAATCTGTACGATATTTCACGCTAACCTCAAGAGAAGGAAAAATTTGCTGCACAGACCAAGGAGCTAGCGCATTCTCTGCGTTCATTAAGATGCAAACAAAGCCTAACTTCCTTTCAATGCGTTCATATTCAAATAGAGGACACAAAGGCAAGAGAATAATAATAAGAAAGGAACGTATTTCACGCAACTCAATGCATTTTCATCCAAAGTATAACGACTTTAAAGAGCTACTCTTTAAACCCACCCTCGTTATAATACTCAAACTTTCTATACATATGCATTCAAAATATTGAGCAGCACAAAATAATATGATTCAGTTATCATACATAGCCTTTCTTATATATATACATATTTTTTCTCATATATACTAAAACGACCTATTCATCACAGACTGTAATTAAAGTGCTGAAAGAATGTCAGACAATTCCTCCTCCAATTGAGGATACCGATTTGTTAAATCATCTATAATCTCAACTAACGTTCTTCGCTTTTCTTCAAGGTGTGTAACTTCCTCATTGAGCTCCTCTGGACTAACTGCCAAATTGTAAGCACCGTTTTCAGCGTCACGAAGACGCTGAAGAGTTGTATTTTTTATCCTTTTCTCATCTTCCAGTCGGTCACACTCTTTTTGTGCTGACAACAACTGTGCTTGAAGTTCTGTTACTTGCTCGTCAAGGTTTTCAACTTCACGTTGAATGGTTTCAATTTCGTTAGTCTTTTTCTCAATTTCGACAAGACTTTCTCTAATAAGTCTTTCCTTCAGTTGCGCCTCTTCTCTTTTTTCATTGAGCTCCTTAAACATCCTGGCACTTTCCTTATCCACATCTAGTCTCGTGGCCCCTCTCCCGTTCTTCTTGGTCGAATTTTGGATCGCCTGACCTTTTGTTCGAATTATCTCACGATGGTCAATCGACCTCTGCATTTCCTCAACTAAAAAGCGTTGTTCTCTTTGAAGGTCATTCATGCGTTTTTCCATAATTCCTATTTCTTTCCTCATTTTTTCGACTTCCGCCCTTCCAACCGTTGGATCAAGTGCCATCTCCGTTTCTTTTGCAATCTGCATTTTTCTTTCCCAAAACAAAATGTCCCGCTCACAATTCATAATCTGTTCGAGTAAATCAGTCTTGGTTTGTCGAGTTTCTTCCACCTTAAGTTCCAGTTCAATGGCTTCTCTTTTCTTTTCTTGCAGTCGTCGAATAAGGTCATTTTCAAGAAGAAAAGCTTCGTTCGCAATGTTTTTTTGATCTTCAGAGTTTTTGCTAAGTTGAGTATTTACCTTCTTCATCTCAATATGCATCGCATTTGCTTTGTTCTCCAAACTGATAATTTCTTTCTTTTCATTCGCAATGTTTGCCAAAAGTCTCTCTCTTTTTTGCATCAAAACCGTGGCCTCTGCCTGGAGTTCAAGAATGGCTTCATTAACCTCATTTGCATTGTTTTTGCAATTTACCAACTCTGTCTGAAGTTTAATCCACTCTTGTTGGAGAGCTTCATTCTCATTAACTTTTTCTGTAATAGCCCTTGACAAACTATTAATGGTAGCTTCTAACGGACCAACATGTTCCCCCTTATCAGAGACTTGTGCAGCCAACAATCCTTCATACTGATGATTCAGTTGATCCAACTGTTTCTGTTTTCTATCAATTTCATCATGTCTACGGCGTATATCCATTTGCATTCGTTCAATCAATACACCACGAGATTGTAACTCCTTCTCCAATTCACCCAATGTAGATTTTAATGTCTCATTATGTGATTGAGCTTGTAGTGTATCCACTCGTATACGAGCAAGTTCATTTTCCATTTGTGTCACTTGAAGTTCTTTGACTCTAATGGAACCCTTGATTTTCTCAATTTCTTGTAACGTGCCACTTCCTTCTTGCTTAAGGGTTGACTGCTTACTAAGTGCTTCAACAATATCGTTCTCCATGGAACGAACATCCCTTGCACATTTTTGTATTTTCCTGTCGATATTTGTGACTTCAGAAGCGTGAGTACGAGCCTCATATTCCAGTTTCTTTGTTTCGGCATCGGTTTGCTCCAAATTATTTTTAAGCATTGCATATGATTGAGCGCTTTTTTCTTTTCTCTCAACAAGAGCATCAATTTGCTTCTCCAAAACGGTCACTTCATTATCAACACGTGACATAAACTCCATTAATTTTGACGTTTCCGTTTGAACACCTTGTATATCTTTTCGGCAACCCGTTATCTCATTCTCTAGAGCTTGTAAGTCATCTTTCTGTTGCTGAAGGGCTTCTTCTGTCTTTTTCATGGCTTCATGACGACGCTGCATTCCAATAAGGGTACTTTTCCATTGTTGCACCAATTGTTTTTTCTCAAAATTGATGGCCTCCATTTCTGCTAATGCCTCCGCCAAAATTTCTCTCGCTCGCTTGGTTTCTTTTTGTTGACTTTCAATCTGTGTATTCACTGTGGCCACTTCCTCCTCAACAAGTATTACTCTTTTTTCAAGGACATCAATCATATTATCTTGCTTCAACTTTTCTCTTTCCAAATTTGTAATATCTTCTTCAGTCTTGTAGGCAGCACGACGTTCTACCTGAACCTCTTTTTTAAGCTGGTCATTGAATTGTTGAACCTTGACAATTGTTTCGGTTAGTTTTGCAAGATCCGCTTGTTGCCGCTCGTGTTGTCGCTGGTAATCCTCAATTTCTTTTCGAAGGCTATCAGCTTGTGTGGAAATTTCCTCTCGTTCTTGTAACTTTTCCTCGTACTGCCGTTGGACTGACACATGCTTTTCATGTTGTTTCTCCAATGTTTCCTGTAACTTTGCTAGATGTTGTTGAGCATTGTAAAGTTCAACACCATATTTTTCCCTTTCCTTTTGAACAGTAACAAGTTCATTTTTGACATCGTAAAGCTGCTGTGATACCTCTTGAAGATGCTTCCGTAATTGTGCCTCTATACGCTGTTGAATTGGCACCAAAACAGCCGACTCCGGGTCCAGTTCGGAGACATCACTTGGGGACTCATAAGGCGTTTCAGCCATAATTTCCTCTGATAATGACGTAAAGAAACTAAAAGAAAAAATCGCAAAAATAAAACAAGTATGAACTTACAGCACAAGAAGCAGAAAAAAAAAAAAAAAAAAAAAGACATCAAGATCTTGTGTCATAAAATAAAAAACAACGATAAAAAGTGAATATAAACACAGCTGATGGCGGCAAATTCCTAAAATTCACCAGTCTGGTAATTCTCATTCATTTTCCATGGCCTTACTCATTCAAAATAACAATGAATTAAATTTTTTTCTCCTTTAGGCGTTCTTCTTCCTTCCTAGCCCATTCAGGCATTTTGTTAATCTCACGATAATCTGGCAAAGGTGCCTGATCAATTCCATTTTGATGAGGACGATATTTTTCAGGTAATTCAGGAATAACGCGATAACTAAAATCAATGGTTTTGAATTGTTTGTAATACAACCATTCCTCCTTAGTGTCAAAATACTCAGGCGGATTCCCATTCTGAAAGGCATGAACAGCATTTCTAATGGCAATTCGGGTCATTCGCGGTATACCTCGGACCCGCAACTGTCGTTTGTCACAACTCATCAGGTCATTCCAATCCTTAAATGCAGCTTTAAAATCACTCGTTGGTTTTAAACGATGAATATCCACCTTTTCAAGAAAGGTCTCATGATTTGGAACATAGGACGTTGGAGGACGAATAACTAGAGGAAGAATTTCGCTGCGAGTTGTAGTTTCGATCGGCGCCAATTTACGAGGATCAGGCATGTAAGTATATTTGTAAGACTTGTGGGGGCCACAGGTCTGGTCAAAGAATCTGCAGGTGCTCCTCATCCCTTCAACACTACGCCGAAAAACACACAAACAAATAAGCACAGAAAAAAGGCAAAATAAGCCAAAGCTAAAAAAACATTTTATATACGATAAGTAACGCAATTATGAACTAGCAAGAAAAAATAAATAAAAATAAAAAAAAGGAAACGCAAAAAGAATTCAAAGCGTATTTATACGATGACTAAAAAAAATTAAAAACTATTTCTGTCTTTTCTTCTTTGTCTTTTTTTTTTTTTTTTTTTTTTTTTTGTGTGTGTGTGTGTGTGTGTGTGGGCGTGGTTTAATTAGGTTCAACGAACTATATCCCCATTTGAAGCGCCACTGGACCTGGGATCCGAACGGATCCGCTGCTGACTGAAATAATATTCCCCCTGACAGTTTTTCCGTTAAGCTGCTGAATACACCGCAAAACAGATTCTGGAGAATCGTAAAAAATCATGGCCATAAGTTCATACCTGTTGATATCAAGAACGCGTCCAAAAGGGGAAAACACTTCAATTAGCTGATCGTTAGTCATGTTAAATGGAATATTATCAACAAAAGCCACATTTACCTGCGCTGAAGGAACAATAATAGGTCGCAGTTTGCTTCCTCTGTTGTCAATAAAACCTCTGAATCCGCGCTGAATTCTTCGGCCCCTGCTTTCGCGGTCCTGTCGATTCCGTTCAAAACCTTTTTTTCGTTGCTGTTCCAATGCATCTTCTTTTTGATTGTATGTACCAAAGTTCATTAATTCAATCGCAACAGTTTTCGACCTTCCTTTTGTTGCATTCCTCTTACTGCCTTTCTGCTTTTCACCTTTCTCTTCATCGGTCAAATAAAGACCGGGAACTTCATCAATTTGCAAAGAAGCAATTCTAGCCATATCTTCGCTATTAAATTTGATGAATACATTTGTGATGTCTTTTTTACGTTCTTTGATTCGCAGAGATCCAACAGCCTCTACACCAGGCCACTCTCTGATCACACGTTCTATGCGAGCAAACTCACCCGTCGGACAAAAAGCCAAAACGGTTAATGGATCCATGTTTCCAAAAAGATAAAAATAAAAGATCTCTGTCAAACCTTAAAAAAAAACTCCCAATAATAAAAAAAAAAAAAAAGTAAAAAAGCAAAATAAGAAAAAAGAAAAAAATAAATAATAAATAAAAAACGGCAACCGCCACAACATGAAAACCACCCCCTCCAAGAAAAAAAAAAAAAAACACAGGCGAATCGCGGCAAGCGCCGGGATCAAACGCGCGCCGCCGCCTCCCGCCGGCGAAGGCGGACGGCACCCCAAAACCCCGACCGCCCCTCTGGAGACCCGCTGCGGGGGAAAGAAGTGGTTTTTATCCCTCCCACCCCGTTCCTCCGGTTTTTTGGGGGCGTTTGTCCTCTTGAAGGTTTTTTTGTTTTCCGGCGTGTTGGCGCCCCCCGCGGCTTTCTTCACGACTCCGCGGGCGCGTGTCTGGAACCGTTTTCGCTCTTCTTTTTGGTGTGTTTGTTTTTCTTGCGCCCCATTTTTTGGTTTCTTTTGCTGTTGTGGACTTTCTTATTTCTGGCGCTTCTTTTTTTATTTTTATTTTTACGTTTTTTCGCTGTTGTCGGGAGTGTTGTTATGGAGCGTTCAGGGGATGCATCGTTGGGATGCGTTTAAACCGTTAGTTTCGTCTCTTTGCAAAAAGAAGCCTTCATGGGAAACCGCAATTGCTCATTATCAACGATCTTTACTTGAAGTTGGTTCCTCTCTCGAATTGGAGCATGCACAACGGATTGCCCTGTTGTTTTTGAAGCAAAAGGGGGGTCCGGGCCAGCTGAGCTCATGGGCACGTCTTTTTTCTTTTGAGGATATTCCCACTTGCTCCTTAATGTTAAAGGCACTTGTTCGCCATGATTTATGGCGTTCGGCAATCAACCTTTGGGTATGGAACCCAAATGACGCAACAGGGGAAGCCTTGATTGATGAATTAGCGTTTTGTAACATGTGGGAACAGTCAATATATGTACTTCAGCAGCTTATTATGAATGAAAATTTTTGTAGAGATTCAAAAAAAAAGATAACAGGGGACATTATAGAAGAGAAACATATTGGTAGTGATGTAGCTTTGGCATTAAATGATGCGTTTCGACTAGCAAATGACCCGACCTTTATTCCTCCTGAAGAAAGAAGAAGACGAGGTACCATACCTCATCTTGTGAACACAGCTTTTCCGTTGAAGTCTCAGTGGCAAATGGCTATCTCCTTGTTAGTGCGACTTAGTGAACGTGACATATCGTCAGATACGCGAAAGGAACTCCTAGATGTTGCTGCGGCCCGTTCAGCCTATCAAGCTGGAAGGATGGAGGACACATTTTTTTGGATTAAAGAAACGGAATATTTTCGTGAGTCAAAATCATTACAACGAACTTTTTTTCGTTCTGCTATTTCTATTCAACGCTATGAAGAGGCCATCTCCATATTGGAAATTTTGAGCAATCATGGGATTGAAGAGATTCCATCCGGCAGCTTACAGGATCTTTGCAAATGTTTTGTTCGAGAATATAATGCGGGAAAATATGTGGAGCTTTTAGATCGATTTTCCACTGTGGTTTTGAAATGTTCATCAAGAATATATTCTAAAGAAACCAGAGATGAATTGAGACATTTTTTCCAATCTAATGCTGTTGACACAACCGCATTGGATTTTGTGGGTTCTCTTGAACGTACAAGAGGATCAACTTTTATTTTTGGCGATAGATCACACTTGGAAGGAATTGTGAAAAGTGCAACTGACATTGACAAAGCTGCGAGTGCCTTGCTTCATAAAGGGTATTGGAAAGCATCGTTAGAACTTCTTAAGAGGCTTTTGGAGGTCAAGCCGCTTAATAAAAATGAGGAGGTTCTTATTGAGGCGGCTCGAGTCTCGTTGGGGAGCTGGAAAACAGCTATCCTGTTTATTGCATAATGCATCGTTAATATCAATTTCAGTTGGGTATTGCAGAATTTAAAAAATGGGAATAATAAATAAATTTTAGGAAGAGAATAATTTTAACGCTTCTGAATTTGATTTTTTAATATCCGTTGTTTTATTCATGGTTTTTGTATCTTGATTGACTGGTCAGGAAGTAGAAAAAAAAAAAAAAAAAAAAAGAGAAAACAAATAAAAAGGAAAAGGAAATGGTTCAAAACCTTGTTATCAATCTTTTGTTCAACAGCCCCGAAATTCGAATCATGGGCCCTGTGAAGGAGCAAACAATTGACAAATTAAATGAGGTGATTCCTAATGCAACTTCGACCGCGCGAAGCACCCGAGTTGCTCCTCCGAGATTTCAGTATATCTCGAATCCAAATCATTGGTACATGAAGTTGGATGGCCAATTTTGCGATGAAGATGGAATTTCCTATCTGATGGTTCTTCTTTTGGATGCTCTTGAGGAGGAGGGCCTTTGGAAACTGGTTTCATCAACTGCATTGCGAACTCCCGCTGGACAATCTTCGAAGGATTATACGGAAACACATGTCTTGTTTATGAATAAGCTTGTTGGCGATGAGATTTAAGAAGGGTATTTAGATTTTCAACAATTTATCCTTTCTCCCATGTATAAAATAATGAACCCATTTTTCAAATAGCTCGAGCTTTTTTTCTCTTTATTTCTTTTTTTTTTTTTTTTTTTTTTGCTTTTTATCAATGAGAACTTTTGGTTGAAGGGAAAGATAAACAAATGAGAGAAAAATAAAAGCTTATTTTGATATATGTATATAAATTCTTTGTTGAGGGAGTGTGTGGATTTTGATGTGTCGGTTTTTGATTTTGTTTGCTATATTTTATTATTAAAAATTATTATTATTATTATTATTATCTTATTTTTTGATTTTATGTAGAAGCATCCAAAGCAAATCAATGTCTCAGGAAGAAATTCTGCAACAAGCCACTGGACCCAGTTTTCCCGGCAAAGGCGTCATTGTAGATGATGGCACCATGGAGGATCTTATTGATAAGCTGAGAATTTTGCGTTACGAAAAGGATTTTTGTCCGCGTGTCAAGCCTCCATTTAAACCTTTGAGCAAGTATTATTTTTCTGGGCCCTCTTCAATCGATAATCCAAATGCTCAGTTCCACTACTTTACTTCTTTATGTTCCTGGCTTATGGGTTTGGCTGGACATAACTTTGAACCTCCTGGTCAATTTGATGATCCAAATGCGACTTCAACCAATATATTGGGTGAATTGCGTGCCATGAATATATCCGCTCCAAACCTTGCTCCAAATCGCATCCGCCAGGGAAGTGGAGAAGCCGTTTTGACCATTTTATCGGTTCTCTCAGACCATGCACTTCTCAAGAAGGGGTTTACTGTTCGCTCTGTTGACTATACAAATGTGGAAAAGTATGATGAGCTTGATGGAGTAACTGATGCTGATGATGATAATGGTATTGGGGAAGAGGTGGAAGACAATGTAATGATAGAAAGTGATGATGAGGAAGAGCTTTATGTTCGTGCAACCGGAGAAAGATTAGTTAAAGAAGATGCTGGTGTTCCTTTAGAATCCGAGATTAATGCTGAGGAATGGAACTTGGAAGTGGAACGTGTAGGACCTCTTTTACAGGTTAGGTCAGATGCTCTTCAAGATTGGCGTTCTCGAATAGAAAGTGCCGGTGTTTTACTTAGGGCTGTTGAGAAAATGTATCCAGAGGTGAAGCAGATGCTTCAACATGTGGCGGATGATTTGGAAAAGTCGAGAGATCGCATTCAAAAGCGTGAACAAACACTTGCTCAACAATTTTCTGACCAAGTGGAAGACTATCGGGTAAAATTACGTGAGCTGAACACCTCACAAGATTCTGCAAATATGGCAAGTCAAAGTGTTGAACAGCTATCAGCCGAGCTGAATCAGTTGAGCGGATTATTAGATCAGGTGAAAAGGGGTATTGAGGATCGCGAGGCAAAAATTTCCGATACAACACCATTGATGCAAGTAAAGGACGCAGTGACGAAGGTGAGAGCTGAAATCAAGCAAATGTCACTGAGAATTGGTGTGTTGCAGCATGCGGTACTTCACTATGTGATGAAACAAACCAAGGCCAAGCGGGAAGGACTAGAAAATGGTCTTGGTTTGGATGACTGGGAAGAAATAGAGTCCATGTAATATTTCAGATGTAACGTTATTTCTTTATGGAGAATATTAAATGATGCCTTTAAAAAAAAAATTTGCATTGGTGATCAACGGCAGCAAAGTCTAAAGAGAAAAAAAAAAGAGGGACTTAAGGAAATTAAGTCGGGAAAGAAAAGTCTAAAAAAAAAAGTAATGCTGGGTAACGTTTTTTTTTTTTTTTTTTTTTTTTTTTTTGTTTGGTTTGTTTTTGTTTTTGTTTTTGTTTTTGTTTTGGTGCAGGGAGATATTTGACATTATTAAATATC